AACGTAAGAGCCCCTACTCTTATTAAGCTTTTCAAAAAGCTAAATATCATGATTTTTAGTTAAGTATATCTGGAGTTATACTTGCTTAAATCTTTGTGTCTGTTTCTGCCCAAACCCAGAGAGGGTTTCCTTGTTGGTGTTGTGGAACCTTTTTAATAGTGGAATTAGCTCTAGGTAATTATAACAAAGTTGTTTAGAATTTACTAAGCTTTCTAAAAAGTTTAGAACCATATTTATTGGATATGCAGAACTCTATTTATAGCTGTTCAAAGTGCCATGTCAGATTCTGTCCATGTTTTGGACAGAGATGTATTCATTGGATTAATTGACCTTGTTAACTATGAAATCATCTTAAGATGATAATAAAAAAGTTGTAGGTAACTTTATAAGATTTTCAAAAAGTTATGATTCATGATTGTTGAAGGTCTAGAACTCCCGTTATGTTTCTCTGAAGTTCCAATCAGTTTTTCTGTAACACTGCTATTTGGGCTACATGTGCAGTTTTGCTTGTGCAATTATTTTTGTGGTGGAAATGATGTTTTATATGGTTGTGGTGAATAACAAAGTTGTAGATAACTCACTTAACTATCTTGTGTTAAATTTTCATGGCATTTGGCCAAATAGTTTGTGAGTTATGACTGTTCTAAGTTGGTCTTCAGAAATTGTAGTTCTCTGGAATTTCTATACCAGATTTGATAAAAGTGATTGTTTGACCCTTTTAACTTGGGAATCATGCTGGGATGATTAAATATGAATTGTAGAAAATTTCATAATATTTCCATATTGTCTTGTTGCATGTATTTTGGATTAGTACAACTCCAGTTATAAGCTTGTGAAGTTGCATGGCAGAATCTATCCAAGTCTGGACAGAGGTGCTCAATTGTGCTTGATTGATCTTGTTAATAGTGGAATCACCTTGTGATGATAATAAACATGTTTTAGATAATTTAATAAGCTTTCTAGAAAGTTATGGTTCATGCTTGTTTGATGTCTGTAACTCCAGTTATGCTGTGTTGAAACTACTACTATTTTTCTGTCCTAGTTTTGTGCAGATCTGAAATATTGGCTTGTTTGACCTAGTTAGCTTTGGAATAAGCTATTGATGATAATAACAATGTTGTAGGAAATTTCATTAGCTTTCCAGAAAGTCTAGGATCACCTTCTTTGGATGTTTGGATCTCCAGTTATGGGTAAAACAAGTGTTATTTGTGCTGCTGTCCAAATTCTGTGTTGTGCTTACAAGTTGATTGCTTTCACTTTGCATTGCCTTATGTGTTGCTAAGTGTAACTCATGCCTTTCATGGTGTTAAATTAAATTAGCTGAGATCTTAAATTGTGATAGATATTTTCAATGGAATAGCTTAACTCAAGTTATCTTGTGTACCATGCTTGATATGCTTACTATCTTTCTATAATAGATTGTGAGATGCATCTCGTATTGCTATTCTTTTATTCATGCACTTGCATCTCATCTAGGTACGCTAGGTGAACCACGTGAATGATGTAATGTTGGAGCTGAACCTGAAGACGGTGTATGGTGGACATATCCCGAAGATAGAAGGACTGGACAAGTGCTAGGATGGGAGATACTCGCCTAGCGAGTGTCGTCTAACAAACACTAACCTAGTGTTGGATTCCAGGCAAGCCCCAGAGCATTCTAAGTCTTCCAGTGTTTTACAAAATATTACTCGAGTCCTTTATGATTGATGCATTAGGTTATAAGAGTTGATTGAAACCACTTGATGCATATAATTTCCTTGTCTAGAAATATACCTTTAACCCTGTGTAGGTCTAGGATCGAATATCTGCTTAGCCATGCTTAGACCGGTAAAAGTCGGGTGATTTCCCGTCACCTATAAGATATAGGTGGATACCGAAGCATGGTTGGCTATATTTGCTATCGTGGAAAAGAACCACGGGGTAATGTACATGGAGACCAGACGGGATGTCGATAGAGAAGCAACAAGACATGGAGGTCTTGGATGTGGATCTATCCCCATTTGTGTCGATTAAGGACCGTACCGTTGTTGGCACTTCTAACAAGATTGAACGCATGCCTATCACTTAGCTGGCCGGATAACTCGTTCGGACCACGAAGCCGAGTAGCTCAACTCAGGCCGGGCCCCGCTCTGTAAGAGTACGCACTCTGGATGGTAGTAAGGATGTGCGGGGAGCCAGACTGAGCCCAAGGGCAGGCTGGACCTGAATGTCCTAGCATTTGGTTGTCCCTGATTATGCGGCGCTGGGCGAACCGGCGAAATGTGTACCTGAGTTGTACCAAAGGTGACCTAAGACTACCTTGACGTAGGTGTGTCTAGGTTTGTGTTAGGAATAAATTCCCAGCTGGTTGAAATCGATTCGAATCGCCGTCTCTCCCGGATAGTGAGAAACTTGGCTAGCCCCAACATCGTAGTAATTGTATTATGGAATATGATGGTTCGGATAAACATGGAATTACTATACCTGCTATGGTTACTATTGTATGCTCTTAAAATAATATACCACATGTTTGGCACATGATAGTTGCTAATCCAAAATAAATATATATAATTAACTTGATGACCAAAGTATAATTGTATAATTGAGTTAATCGCTTTTTATGCAAAATATTGCCAAGCTACCTCCACTTATAAAGCCTTGTATAATTCTTGGAGTCAATTTATTTCTGGTTTATGACGGGTAAGTCTAGCTGAGTACATTCGAGTACTCAGGGTTTATCCCACTATGTTGCAGGTGAAGTTCTTAGCCTGCTGAAGATGGTGGCTAACCACCGGTGGGCTCGGTGACTCTATATTTATTCTCATCTATATGCTCTTATATGAGGATGTCACTTATGCTAGCAATGTATTTGGAACTTATATTAATATAATCATTTGAAAGCTATGTTGTTTTCACTAATCGGTTTTGAAACCCAAACTTGTACTATTATTTATGAACTCATTTATAATATTATTTTCGTTGCAACTCTGCGTATGTGATATGTATTTGCTTAATCATACGATCTTGGTTGTGATGTTGATTTACCGAGGTCCTTCGTGACACTCGGTGGACTACCGGGTTTATATAAGTGAAAGTATACGCGTGTCAACGTGTTAGCGGGGACAACCGTACTTGATCTAGTATAAATTGGCCGGTTCTGTCACAACCGGCGCTCTTTACAGAAAAGACAAAGGTCACTGTAAGTGACCGGACGCTGGTCTCGGTTGGACCGGCGCGTCCGGTCAGTGGCAGCAGAGGGCGTGTGTTTCGGTCTTCGACCGGACGCTGGCGCTAAAAGTGACCGGACGCTGGCAAGGTGCATCCGGTCAGTGCTGACGTACGCTGACGTGAGGCGCACAGAGGAAACATTGAGTGACCGGACGCGGGGTGTGTCCGGTCGAGCATGACCGGACGCGTTCGGTCGTGAAATGTCACGTTTGGAACCTTACTGGAAACGACCGGACGCTAAGATCCAGTGTCCGGTCACTTTCTAACTGACGCGTCCGGTCATCACTTGACCATTGAAATCGAGCGATCGGCGTTTGAAGCCGATAACACGTGGCGCACATCGCACGACCGGACGCTAAGGTCCAGCGTCCGGTCAATATGACCGGAGCGTCCGGTCGGTCCGTGTTCGGTGCAGTGAGGAGCCCAACGACTCTATTTCGTGGGGGCTTCTATTTAAGCCACATGGCCAGTTCAAGCTCACTGTCTTGGCCATTTGCATTGACATAGCAACCTTATGAGCTTAGCCAAAGCCCTCCCACTCATCTACATCATTGATTCATTTTCTTTGTGAGATTGGGAGAGAATCCAAGTGAATTGCTTGAGTGATTGCATCTAGAGGCACTTGGTGTTCGTGTTTTGCTGCGGGATTCGCTTGTTGCTCTTGGTGGTTGCCACCACCTAGACGGTTTGGAGCAGCGGAGGAGGATTGGCACGAGTTGGTGATTGTCCATGGCCATCTCCGGTCATTGTGAGGGGATTTGTACCTTTCCCGACGGAACGCCGAAAGATAACTCTAGTGGATTACTCGTGTCATTGAGTTACCTCACTTGCGGGTAGGTTCTTGCGGTGTCCAATCGTGTGGACGAGGTTTGTGCAACATCTCTTAACCGCCGAACCACCAAGTGTTGGTCGACACAACGGGGACGTAGCGTGTTGGCAAGCACGTGAACCTCGGGAGAAAATTGGTTGTCTCTTACCATTTGGTATTCTTTCGGTGATTGGTTTAATATTCATCTTGTGATTGGTTCACTTCTCTACACGGCGGTATAATCATCATACTCACTCATTTATATTCTTGCAAACTAGTTGTGGCAAGCTCTTTAGTGTAATTAGAATTGAGAGCTTGCTTTGCTAATTAAGTTCATCTAGTGAAGCTCTTTAGAGTAATAAAATTGAGAGCTCTTAGTGAGTAGTATCATAGCAAATTGTGTAATTAGCAATCATTGCAACTAGAATTGTTGGATAGGTGGCTTGCAACCCTTGTAGAGCTAGAGCAAATTTACATTTCGCTATTTGTCATACTAATTAATTTGTTCTAGTTGATTTATAAATTTTTAAATAGGCTATTCACCCCCTCTAATCATATTAGGGCCTTTCATCGTGCCGTATCGGCCCACGTGCCTAGGATGTGGCCTAGGCACGGCCTGCCAGCCCAAGTCCGCTGGCCACCAGTCCGAGCCGTGCTTGGGTCAGGCCAAGATACTGGGCCTCGTGCTGGGCTCACGGGCCCGAGCTGCATGCCCATATATAGTTTCGGGTCATCCGGAATCGTAAGGCAACTACCCGTCCTCACCACTCGCGCCGTCTCCCTCGCTTCGCAGGTCCGTGCGCTCTTCCTCGTCCTCCTTCCATCCTCATCTAGGGTTTATTCCTCTCATCCACGCTTTCAGAAACAATCCGTTGATTGCTATTCGATAGATCGTACTAAAGGAAGCACATGGATCTAGCTTGATTTATATTGAATGCAGCGCAACTGATCGTGGGGATTCGATTCTCCCTCGTTCTGATCAGCCATGGTGAAGAGGCTCAGGCGCAAGGGCGACGCCTCCTCCGAGCCGCCGCCCAAGGCCGCCGCCCCTGGGTCGACCAAGCCCGACAAGTTTAAGAAGAGGGGGGTCAAAACCGCGGGCATCTCTGAGGCGTCTGCTTCGGCGCAGACACCCGCCCCAAAACCAGTCAAGACTAGTCCGGCGGCCGCCGCCACCGCAGAGACTGCAGATGACCGGGTCGCGCAGAGCAAAACGGAGAATAGGAAGTTGAGTAGGAAGGAGACGATGAAGGGGAGAGAGGAGAAGAAGGTAGAGGGGGCCAGTGGCGGGGTCGCCCAGAGCAAGACGGAGGGGGAGGCAGAAGAGAGGACGACGAGTAGGAAGGAGATAATGAAGGGGAGGGAAGAGGAGCGTGTGAAGAGGGAAGAGAAGAGAAGGAAGACGACGGGGAAGGAAAAGGAGGAGGAAGAAAGTGGCTCGGGATTCATATTCATGTGCAGTGCGAGGACGAAGCCAGAGTGCTACCAGAACGGCGTGTTTGGCCTGCCCAGGGGGAAGATGGATGTGGTGGAGAAGATCCGGCCAGGGGCGAAGCTGTTCTTGTATGATTTTGACCTCAAGCTAATGTATGGGGTGTACAAGGCAGATACAAGGGGAGGATTGGATCTTGTGCGACATGCCTTTGATGGGAAATTCCCTGCACAGGTGATTCTTGTATCTTATTGTTTGCTTTGCTTGTACGGTAAACTTAGTCCTGCAATTCAGCTCAATCAGTTTTACAAAGTTAATGAAGTAGTACAGTGAAATACTGAGGTGGTGAGGACACATGTTGTAGGTTTATGACTGTTGTCATTCATAGGAGTATAGGACAAAATAGTTTATCGGTTTATTTGCTCAATGGCTCACTGTTATAGCGTTCATGGTCAAGGGCATTCAAGGGACATAACTAGGAATGTCTTGTTTTTAATACATGTGTAACCTTTGGCAGAATTTTTTTCTTCTGACGTATCAAGTGCCCTTATCTCAACTAATGACCATACTTGCATTGCCATGAAACAAAGATTGGGGGAATTGTTTGTTGTAGGTTTGCTACTGTGTTTTTCAGGTTCTGAACACATGATGTATGGGTTGTTAGCCTTAAGAACTGTACTAGCCAGTGTCCCCATCCTCTAAAAAAAGGGGGGAAAAAACATATCATTCATCATCCTGTGCCTTGCACACTCCTATCTGTCCGGCTCTGTTTTTTTTTAATTATTATTTTGGGTGGAAACCTGTCTGAGAAATCAGGAAGCATTTGAATGCCTCTATTTATATGTGTTGCCCTCAATCAGCAAGCATTTGAATGTCTCTATTTATATGTGTTCCCTTCAAATATTATAATAACTAATATGTACATTTGTTAACAGTCAACAATGTGAGATTCATGGAACAAAAATACAATTTCGTAAAATGTTGTTTACCACCTTAGATGTATGCTGCCCGACCTGCCTAGAAAATAATTTTTTGAATGCTGCTAAAGTTGTCTAGATATTCTAGAGAGCAGGGATTGTTTTTCTCATTGTTTTGATGATAACTAGCGGTACACCCTCCTATGAAAGCCATTAATCAAGGAACATCCCCCCTCCTCGGTGCTTCAAGTTGAGCCAAGCTTGGTTCTTTAGCTGCTTGCCCTAGTGCAAATGCCATATCCTAAATCCATGCTCAAGATTTAAATCCCAAACATATGCCATACCTCATATAAATATGTTTACATCAATTGATTCACAAAAATATGTTTGCTTGAATGATCATTTAATTCCTCATCACCCAAAATATCCCTATGGTTTTACTATTTCTATTGCTGTTCAATTTATCCAGATATCCGCTTTTACAGTTTCTATGACTACCTTGCACAATACTTTTTGCTAGACTAATGATGGCGGAAGGATGGTTTGGTGAGTTAATTAGGGCACTTTGTGTTAACCTAGTATAGGAAGGTGGTGATTGTTGTTATCTTGGTTTGGCCTCCACATTATCATGCAACCTTTGCTTTTCTAGCCATTAAATGGATTTTTAATTGTAGATGGATGGCCAACCAAAGTGGATGATGTTTGAATGGTGACATTGTTATCGCTTAACTAACTAACTAACTTGTGTCCTTGATGTAGGTTAAATTTAGCGTTGACATGGATTGTCTTCCTATTCCTGAGAGCAGTTTCAAGAATGCCATTAAGGAGAACTACACCTCAAAAGGCAGGTTCAGCCAAGAGCTTAACTATAAACAAGTGAGTCGTGGGGAATGTTCTATATTGCAATGTTGTATATACAAAATAAAAGGCACAAAATTTTGTTTCATGCTTTAAGTCATGGCACTATCTTGTAGGTTCAAAGACTATTGGCAATGTTCAAGCCTATTGGCCTTTCTCAGCCAGCTCCACAACATATCGAGGAAGTGCGACGATCACGTATCGTTGAAGATATTCGAAAACCGAGTGATTATGAAGAAAGAAGACGATTGCAACATATTGACGAAAGGGGTGCACCTATTAATGTCCATGCACATCCTCTTGAAGATCAGTACAAGATCACACGATCATTACATCCTCCACTTCTTGACGAGCCTCGACGTGGTGTGGTGCTAGATCCTTATCACATGCAAGAGCTTCAACATGTTCCTCTTAATTACTATCACCAAGTGGCTACTAGGTCTCCATACCATCAACCTCATATGGATATTATGCATGAAAGGTAGTCTTTTAACTGTAATCTGATTTCTTAATTTGGGTGCTCGGTCAGGTTATGCGAATGTTAACCCTTTTTCCGAAATTATCTAGCTTATTGAGGGCTTCTATTTAAATGCCTGACTCATTTATATCTACTTGGCGGCGTTAGGCTCCTTTTTGAGCTTGAAGCCACAAAATAATTAGACTCCTAGAGGAGTTGAGATATTTGGGTTTCTCATCGGAATAGGAGTGAAACAGATTTTGTCTAGAGATTACTTTCCTTTATTTGCTATATGTATCTTTTGAACTATACTCTCATGCCAACCATAGAAATACTTGCCTTGCCTCTTTTGCTAGTATTCCATTACATTGTCTTTTCTTTTCTTGTTTTCTCTTTTGCAGTTCAACTATGTCGACAACCATGTTCAATCATTGCCTTTTGATTTGTCATTAGGAAAGCCAAGCTCACTCACTTAATGGCTTGCAATTAGCTAACATATAAACCATATGTGTATTTTGATTGCTCTTCAATGGTTACATGTTTTTATTTGTAAGTAATGGTTACATGTTTGGGATGAAGAAAAAGGAGTTGGGTATTTTATCGTTGGTCAGTCTGTTTTGTGGCAAGAATGAACAAAATAGGTAAAAGAGATTTGCCCTATGCTGTGGCCAAAGCTTGCCAAACAATGGTAGCGTGGCAGCCGATTCAATTAAGGTGTTGGCTGTGTGTTAGTTCAGCTTGATCCTTAACATGCTTAATTGAAGTGTGATTCATGCCTTGAATATGGTCTGTATTTTAGCTTCCAGTTTGAAAATATGTTGGAAATTTGTTTCAGTCGGTATGTAAATCTGGAATACTGTTGTTGCACTATTAAATGATCCTTGTAGAGGTAGTGATTCTGCAACTACCAACTATGCAACAATCCACAGCTTGTTCGGAAGGCCGTATCGTATCGTGGATTATTTACTGCTGGCTGGTTTGGTGTGAGAGAAAAACACTGTTCCCAGCTGGAAATTTACGATCGTTTACGAGCAAGCGAACAACCAAAGTTCCATTATACTGCGTAATTTAATAATCAGTGATTCAGTGTCATTTGCTATGCAAGAGATTAAAATATCAGGAATGAAACCTTAAAAGCATTGTGTATTGGTTGTCATATACTCCCTGCATTCCAAATTGTAAGACGCTTTGACTTTTTTCTACATCGATTTTGCTATGTATCTAGACATATGGTATATCTAGACACATAGCAAAATTGACGTACCAAAAAAGTCAAAGCGTCTTATAATTTGGAACGGAGACGGTATTTCAGAAATATAAGAAAAGAAAAGAAGGTTTCACATGCAGAGTTTGGTGTTGAATTAAGTGCTTTAGATTTTATTTTTTGTATACTGTTCTTACCTGTCTATTTTTCAGTGGGCATCCCATAGCCATTTTAGTTTCTGTTATACTTGGTTTACTTTGTAAGTTTTGTCGGTAGCTTGTAGGTGATATTTTTGTTTGAATTCAATGTTTTTATGGAGAGTCCATTTTCCTCGCAAAGTTGTATTTCTATTATCTTTTATGAAAACATTCAAATTATTGAACTTCACTGTTGTTTCCAGAACTGCAGCTGAGGCAACTGTTAGGGATCCACTTATGGTAAGAGATCACCGAGCACTGCCAGGAGAGCTTGCTGCACGGTCTGAACGCGTGGATGAGCTGTACCGTTCCTACAAACTCTCTACACGCGCAATGGACTTCAATCCGGGAGCATCCTACCAGACAACTTATGAGCACCCGACTAGTGTTTATGGTGAAGGCATTCAGCGGCCAGTTTTGACAAGGGTCAATGGCCCAAGTTTGCCTGTGTCCACCCGTTATTCCTTTGCTGGCCCACGCGGATATTGATGATCGCCCAGATGCAAGCACTCAAATTGGCCCCAGCCATTTTACCTGTTAATGTAGGCAATGGCTTCTTGTACACAGTTGGAAGCCAGGATAGAACCTGATGGAAGTAGCTTTACAGTTTATCCATCGCCTTTGGTTTCTTTTGCAAGATAAATGTATGAAATGAAATGTGGGCCTCGTTTGACCCAAGTTGTTTAAACAAAAATGCAAAGGGATGAATATCTTTGTGTCGATTTGCAGCAGAGCTCTTGCAGAAATGATTTTTTTTGCGTTGGTTGCCTTGCCAGAAGTCCTGTACCTCGTCTTTTTTATCTGGATGCAGTTACTTATGGCAGCAAGTGGATCATAAGATCGTTCGGTCGCTTTCCCATCATGATCTGTTTTGTTAGCCATGGTGGCTGCTTGGCTTAGGAAAAAAAGGTCGGTCGATGTGTACTTCGGAAGCTTGTCCTTCAGATAGGATGTTTTACAAGCAAAACATAAAAAATGGCCAAGTCCATAGGTCAGTTTTTGCTTGAAGTTTTGCGGATAGACTGTTGCATTTGTTGGTCCAGTTGTCTCAATCGGTTCCGAACTGGTCGTCTTTAACCACATTATCTCACTGGCTAGTGCAGTAGTTTTCCCCTTTGCCATAAGCAAACGTTGCACGTTGGTGCTTGCGTTGCGTGATGCCAGGCCACCCGGAGACCGTCCACGAATAGTATCAGCATAAACTGCAGCGGCAGGCCGGCAGCTCCGGGCGGCTCAAGATGGGGTGCTAAAAAAAATCCGACGTTGGTCGAGGCATCAAGCAGGAACCTCCAGATGTGGTTGCCAATTGCCGTTGCGATTCTGGAAGGCTTTGTTAAGCCAGACGAAATGTCAAACGAGTCTTCTTCTGGAAAAAAAATCTAGTAGTAGTATTTTTTTATTTTATTAAAATTTTGGTAGTATAATACTGTACTTGATAATGATACGACCGTGAAAAATCCGGCGATGGTAGGTACCATCAGTCTTTGTCTGGATGTGAGCCGTCCGTTGCGTCCAATCAGACGGCCAGGAGGTTAGGCCGGCCAATCTACGCTACCTGGTGGTGTCCCCACCACAGAGGGGCCGCCGCCTGTGCGGTGGCCAGCAGCCCAGCATCGCCCGGCCGGGTTCGTCGGGAAGCGACCGAACCCTCCTTCGCGTTGGAACCAACACCCGCCCCCAACCTCGTTCTGACCGACGGCGACCTCCGCGCCGCGCCACGCCACCGCTATATACACATCTCCCCCTCCCTTGCCCGCCGCGGCCGCCAACCTCGCCAGGGAAATCCAACTCCGGTTCCTCCTCCTCCCTCCGCCTCTCCCGCCGTCGGAGAGATCCGGGTTGGCCCGCCCGGTAATCCATCCCTCGCGCTCGTGCCGCCCGTAATTTCGCCTCCTAACCCGACCGCCGGGAGCCACAGCGGCGCCGGAGGCGGTGGAGGGGGGACGATGGGGATCGGGGCGGTGTCGGACGAGCTGCTGGGCACGTTCGTGCCGATCGCCGTGTACTGGCTCTACTCGGGGCTCTACGTCGCGCTGGACGGGGTGGGGCGGCTCGACGGATACCGGCTGCACACCAGGGAGGAGGCCGCCACGAAGAACGTCGTCTCCAAGGCTGCCGTCGTGAGGGGCGTTCTCCTCCAGCAGGTCTTCCAGGTCGCCGTCTCGCTCACCCTCTTCGCGGTAATCTTCTCCTCCTCGGCGCCATCTGTTCCTTTGTCTGTGCCACGGAATTCCAGGATCGTTTTAGTTGGTTTTAGATGAGCCCCGTGCTTAATAGGTGCTTCCTTTGGGCGTTATCATTCTGTGCAGCGAAGCAAACTTGATGTTTTTAATTGCACAGGAAATGATCGACGAGACAACACACCTTATAAGTCTGAAGCACAAATTGGTTTACAAGCCTCCTGGATTGTATTTGCATCCCATTACTGCATATAGCTCAACAGCCTTCTTATTTCCTTCTAGACTTTGTTCCTGAGCATCTATCCTAACCAATGAAGTATAAAGCAAAGTGAAGCAAACCAGATCACGTTTTTAAAGAAAGTCATCAGTTTTGGTTATTGAAGACTTTCGGTGATTCTTAGCAAACATGTCTCGCTTACATGCTTTGAGGATTTGAAAGCTGAACATAACATTCAATACACATGTAGCTAGTGAAGTGGATTAAAATCCTTGTGTCAGTATAGCGGGTGGTTGCTGGGTTAACCATGTTGATTCTGATTGGAATAAAACTAAGAATTTGAATATAAATCAATATAGGTTCATGAGAATTCACTGATCTAGGGGATATCTAGTTCTATGATCAGTCTTGATTTTGTAACCAGCTTGACATCATAATGTTTCTTTTGGGTTCCTAAAAAATGGTTCATCAGTGAATTGTTCGATACACATCATCTATGTAGATAGGTTTGTTAACATGCTGACATTTTCCTTCACAAACAGGTTATTGGTGATGAGAGTGGTATTGGACAGAAGCAACCTCCTGCTCTTGTAATAGTGTTGCAGTTTATAACTGCAATGGTTGTTATGGACACATGGCAGTACTTCATGCACAGATACATGCACATTAACAAGTTCCTGTATAAACACATCCATTCCAAGCACCACACTCTTGTAGTCCCTTATTCCTTTGGAGCTCTATACAACCACCCTCTTGAGGGCCTTATTTTGGACACCATTGGTGGTGCACTCTCATTCCTTGTTTCTGGTATGACTCCACGGACATCCATATTCTTTTTCTCCTTTGCAACCATCAAAACTGTGGATGATCATTGTGGGCTGTGGCTTCGTGGTAACATCCTCCAGGCGCTGTTCAGCAATAACAGTGCTTATCATGACATTCACCATCAGCTCTATGGTAACAAGTACAACTTTTCACAACCCTTCTTTGTGATGTGGGACAAGATACTCGGAACTTACATGCCTTACTCTATTGAACAACGAAAAGGAGGAGGGGTCGAATCAAAACCAGCTAAACTCCACTGAGCTGAGGATACCAAGACTGATTAGTACATGCATGCATAGTTTCTGATTCTTGTTTTGACTTGTCCAATACTCTCATGCTTTGTGGTACTGCTGACTGCACAAATGATGTAAAACTCACCGTGTTTCATAACTTCATATAGTGAGGCTGTTTTTGTTCTCTACATTTTTTTTTTGGGTTTGTTTTTTGGGGTGTTCTATCTTGTAACAAGATACAGTGAGTAAAGTATTGTAATGTACCAAAGAATACTCAACACACTTGATTTGTGTCCTGTGGATTGATCTATTCTTCCATCCGTCATGTTGTTAACAAAGAAAGTTGATATTAGCACATGGCACTTCATATAGCCTTTGCTCATTCCTCCTTTATTTACTTGTGCTTCCGTCCGTCCTGTTGTTAACAAAGAAAGTTGATATTGGCACATCCGCACATGACACTTCATATAGCCTTTGCTCATCCCTTCTTTACTTGTGGTGCATTTGATCGTTGATTTTCTAATTGACCTCTGCAGATTATTGCGTTCTATTGGTTTGCTTTAATTTAGTCTTCTGAAGTTTTTTTGTCAGGTTATGACTTATGTCGCTGCTGCAGGTTTGATATACACTGAATTTTCCATTGTCAGGTTGTGACTTAAGTCGCTGCCGGAGGTTTGATATACACTGAATTTTCCATTAAAAGCAACTGGCAAGAAGTTTGTGGGGGCTGGGGGCATTGTACTAATATTAATAGAGAGGAATATATTTACAGCAACAAGGCAACAAGGATATATAGAGGTGGAAATGGATTAGAATCCAAATCCAATGGAGAAGTCTAATTAAAATCTAACAAAATAAATAACATCCAATCTAAATCCAATTCCAAATGATTAATGTTCAATCCAATTTGCATTGAAGTCCAAATCCATCCAGTAGGATCCAAATAATAGCAAAAGTACTATGCTTACATGTTGACATCATGCTAAAACTGAACTTTAGAATTAAATTGTCACGTTTATACTCATTAAAGTTTTAATGAAATTGACTAAAATTTGTTTAAGATTACTTATATGCAAATTGGTGTGGCTATATATACATGTGGGTTCCAGGTTAAAAGATGAACCCTATAATTAAAACCTTATTCACATCTTAAAAGTTTGACAAAATTGACCGAAATTGGTTCGAGACGATTCAATATAATATTTGACAAAACTGGCTGAAATTAGTTAGAGATGATTCAATATAACAGCCTACTATTTTATACAAATTGGTGTTGCTATATATACATGTGGCCTCACGTAATAAGTTGGATTCTACGATTAGATATCTTGCATTTACACCTTAAAATTTTAGTGAAATTAAATAAAATTTATTGAAGATGATTTAATATAACAGTCGGCTACTGTGTATATTATTTTAGAGACGGGGGGTACATTCTAAAATCAATTCAAGGCAAATACACAAACATACACACGTAAAGCGGCATTATACGAAATTTTATATAGCATGGTGATCAAGAAATTTGTCATTTCACACACCGACGAAATAAGGGCAAAACACAAGGGGCAAATATTCGCCCGCTTTCTCTCGCTGCCCATCCCACCTCTACGCCTCGCCGGAGCGCGCGTGCTGCGCGGGGCATGCCGGAGCTCCGCCTACCGATAACCGCCCCGGCCGCGGCCGGGTCCCGCCGCCATTCCCGGAGGCTACGGCGCCGCTGCCGCCTAATCCTCCTCCTTGTCCTCTCCCTTGCCCTCCTCTCCCTCGCCTACCTCTCCTTTTCCTCCCATGCCAACCTCCCAATCCACGGTAAGCGTTCAAATGACCAGGTACTTTTTCCATCCAGAACTATCATTTTGCTTTGGAGCTGCAATTTAGTTGCAACTGACAAAGGCATACGACCACAATCTGTTTTCTGTATGTGCGCGCGGCGGCGCGGGCAGTGGGCCGGTGTCCGCCGCATACTACCATTTTCTATCATCTCATAAAATTTCTTCAGGGTGCACAAATCTTCAGATGCGTTCTGGTGATTATTTCCTATTACGTAAATTCTACAGTTCCAATTGTTAGAGATACAAGCATCAGCATTGTCACCAGAAGTGAGTAGGGCCTAAAATGTGTGTTAGAGGTTCTGTTTTGGTTTCAAATGAAATGGAATTTACGTTCAGGTGGGTTCCTTGCCCCCAATTGGTTAGTTGGAAAAATATGTGTGTTCCAGAGGTGTTTGGTCACAGGAAATTGAATCACTTCCTCTTGTCACGAGCTAAAAAGATTTATTTACTTTATTGATTATGTTCTCATATTTTCTCTGGATGACTCCAAAGAAAATACTCTCTATCCGCAGGAAAAAAAATACTCTCTGAAATTTGATGTTATGCTTTGCAGCAATGCATCATGGCCTATCTAATAGGGAGAACCTTTTGAAGTGGAATGGTCAGGGATACAGCCCTGATGTTACAAATATCTCTATGTGAGTTCAAATACATACGTATAAATTCAGTTGTTTGTGTTAAAGTCATCAGATTTACTTCTTCTGCCAGGACTAAAGTTGAGTTGGAACCCCCCAAAAGTCGAAAGAAACCACACAAGCGCTGTAAGAGATCTTCTCTTTATACTCTGTAAAGGGTGCACTTCTCAAAGATGGGCCTTTTTTAGTCAAATGCAACGAATAGCTTTTATTAGATTTTTTTTACCCTACATGCATTAGAACAAGAGGGAGGGAGGGGGGGGTCTTTTTTAAAGTTTGATATAATCTTCTAGCTGATACCCCCCCTCTTTTCTGCTTAGAAACAATCCTTGCCATGCCTTTTTTTTTTTGAGAGAATAACAAGTGTATTTTATTATAAGTTAGTATCAAACAATCTGATTAGGCCCTACCTTATATATGCTACATGAATCATTGTTACAAACAGTTTTGTTTATTACAAGTTAATAAAAAAAACGATAGGACCCTACCTTATACAGAGGTTTCTGTTTACTTACCAAATACAACATTGCAGATGCACCATGCGATATTCAGTTTTTGCCATCAGTTGATGATCTTGTGGAGCCTGTTCACTACGGGAATTTTACACAGTTTTCTTTGAGCTATATATTGAAGGAAAAAGTATTGCTTGGTAATGGCTTCTTCGAACCAGTGTTTGGTGGACACCAGAGTCTTGGGGATAGAGAAGAGACATACCATGCTAAAGACCAAACCCTCCACTGCGGTTTTGTTAGAGGACCAGATGATTACCCTAGTACCGGATTTGATTTGGATGAAAATGATAGAAGGTATATGGCTACCTGCCATGTTGCTGTATCATCATGTATTTTTGGAAGCTCTGATTACTTGAGGAGACCAACTAAAAGCAGGGTGATTTTCTACTCTCTTCTGTATGGATGAGCCTGATCGTCCGTGTGCTATAGCTAATAGCTTGTTTTCGAGTAGCAAAATGGCTTAAGTATAAGGTTTATTCTTCTAGTTGATTTCATGTTCTGTCATGATGGTAAATTATTCATTGGCCTTCACTCCTTATCAATCTTTTATTTCATGAATATTTCTTGTTTTTTATAAGTTCTATAGTAATTGTACGATGTGCCATAAACTCTCACAGATTGGCTCTTACGCTAAGAAGAATGTGTGCTTCGTCATGTTCATGGATGAGCTAACACTGGCAACCCTTTCCTCTGAAGGACACATGCCTGATGGAAATGGATTCATAGGCTTATGGAGAAGTGTCGTAGTTAAGAACTTACCATACGAAGATATGCGAAGAGCTGGGAAGGTGCCAAAATTTCTAGCTCATCGACTCTTCCCATCTGCCATGTAAGTCTTCAAGGAAGTATGCGTATCGTATTTAATTGCGCAGTGAATTTTTTTTATTACCAGCAATGTCTTTGCTCTAACAATAAATTCTATTAAATCCAAAAAATCCTACAAGTACTGCCTACTAACTGGTTAGTGCTTGTCATCCCACCAGCTCTGATTGTAACTAGGGCTTCTTACTTTGCTTTATGTTGCAGCGAATTTTCTTTTTCCTATTTTGTTAATAATAATGCGTATGCCCCGGACACTGTGATCACAAAAGCGCGTTGTCTGGACATATTGTTCAAAATGCAACATTGAACATTAATTTCTATAGTAATATAGTTATAAACTCTTGATCAAATAAAAGTTAAAAAGCCTTGTAAAATTGTAGTATTACGGAAGTATTTTTCAAAATCTACAAACATAATCTTTATAAGTTTAAGGTTATTATTCATATAGGCATCAAGAGCCTAAAAAGGAGTGCTCTATAACAAAATGGCATTGTTTTCTGGCTAAAGAAATTTTCTCTTGTGAAATGAGTTAGTATTTTCTCACCTGGGTTAACTGAAGGTATTTTTCTTTCTAGGTATTCTATATGGTTGGATAGCAAACTGCGCCTCCATGCTGATCCAATGCTTATCATTGAGTATTTCTTATGGAGAAAGAAAGTAGAATATGCCATCTCAATGCACTATGATCGCTCTTGTGTATGGGAGGAAGTACTCCAAAACAAGCGGTTGAACAAGTACAATCATACTGCTATTGATGAGCAATTTCACTTTTACCAGTCTGATGGTCTTGTCAAGTTTAATAACTCTGGCCAACTGCCTGTTCTTCCAAGCTGTATGTATCCTATCATATTGTTTACTTAATGACTTAGAAGTATATATTTCTTGATTGGCCCAAGAGTTGACCCTGTACATGAACTTTTGCAGATGTACCTGAAGGATCATTCATTGTGCGTGCCCATACACCAATGTCTAACTTGTTTTCATGCCTTTGGTTTAACGAAGTAAACCGTTTTACCTCACGTGATCAATTGAGTTTTACATACACTTATTTGAAGCTCAGGAGAAATAATCCAGGGAAACCTTTTCACCTAAATATGTTTAAGGTAATAGCAACAATCAATGCATTTCAGCATGTACAGAGACCGAGTCAATAAGTCTAAAAAATAGTTGAGGACATTCGGCCCTATGTACTTAAACTATATGACACCATGTGGCTACCCAGCACCATCAAATTAGGGGTCTAGTGTGTATGTAAGAGTTACTGGCAAAGCCCTGTTTCTTTTCCTGAATTCCTTCTCTGTAGGCAATAACTGGGTGCAACAATCCATGCTATTGCATATTGAATTGCTAGGACCATATATTAGTAGAGAATTGTAGTTTACTGCTTAGGGTCCCAAAAAGGCAATTCTGCAGAACAAAGTAATCACCATCGCATTTATTAACGGGTTTGCATAGACTATCTAATACTATGGATGTCGATTTGTTGTTGAAACAGGACTGCGAAAGAAGAGCGATAGCTAAACTGTTCCATCACCGAACTAACGAGACTACAGATCCACCAGCAGCTAATCTTCGTTTGGACACGATTCGTCATTCATACAAGGCTGAGACTGCCATTTGAGGAATCAACAGCAATGTGACTTCAATTTATTGTGCATACCATTCATCCAGCTCTTGCATTCAGGGTACAAGTTGATCTTCTCCTTGCTGCATCCAATCGTGCAGGACAGTCAGCCAAAGTGATATCGTCTTCTTTTGTTTACAGAGGACCAGAACAGCGTCAATGTGCCTAACATGCTTGTTTGTAGAAAAGAGAAACGAAGTAACGTTTGCACAGCCGTTGGCAGTAGACATGTAGCAATGCCAGTGGTCTCACTTCGTTAGAAAATTCATTTAGATTTCAGCTTTGTATTGTAAAAATGTTCATTGAACAAATCGAAGTGTTAGAACGATGATACTCCCTTCATTCCAAATTATAAGATGTTTTGATTTTTTTTTCTAAATATATTATTTCTACTATATGTATCTAAACATAGTGTATATCTAAATACATAGCAAAAGCTATGTATTAGAAAAGCCAAAACATCTTAATTTAAAATAGAGGGAGTACCTTTTTAAGTTCATCGAACGTGTACCATTTTCTGGCTTTGTAAGTACATATCCGGAGAGTAACCTTTGCTGCTTTTATTCATATATTGTGCATTATTGTTGTATCTCTGAATTTTTGAAATGATGCGTGTTTCCTCGTTCGACATTACACAATCTCATGGCCAGTGCGGACTCTGATGAACACTCTGTAAACTGATTCATTGGATGTACTTCAAGCAACATTTCAAATCTTGTTAACAAGTTGGTATTGTATTTATGGCCAACTTTGTCACATAAAACTAAAAGGACATCTGGATGTAGGTAGCCACATAAACGAAGGACATCCTGATATATTCCATTCTAAATTATAAATCGTTCTGATTTTTCTATATATATAGTAAAAACTATATATGATATCTAGATGCATAGCATAGTAGAAACTACGTATGATATTTAGATGCATAATAAAAGCTAAGTTCCTAAAAAAATCAGAATGACTTGTAATTTAGTACGGAAGGAGGAGCTTGGCGACTGAATCCTGAAGGGAAAGGCATAGAAGCATACGTGGCACTAAGAAGTGGAAAGGTGAAACGGATCAAAGGAAACAGAAACTATCGAAGTATGAATGCAGCGCAGGAACAGATAAATACGGCTTCTTAGTTCTTACAGACCTGTCGTAGCACCATCAAACGAAACGAGAAAGTATTGGAGCAGTAAAATTCAATATAATCTGTCGGCTATCGATATTAGGGATACCCAAAGCAAGAGCGTTAGCGCCACGCTGATTTTCCTGGATGAAGCAAGACGTATTAAAAGGTCTTGTTCGACCCCAAGGCCGCGGGGGTCTCACCCAAGGCCGTGGGCTCCGCATCATCCGACACTTTGGGTGATGGCTCCGTCTCGTCCGACCCCAATGACGCGCTTTTCCGCCTCGCCCGACCCCTTGGGTGGGGCTCCGTCTCGCCCGACCCCATGGCCGTGGGGTCTCACCCAAAGCCACGGACTCCGCCTCGTCCGACCCCTTGGGAGCGGGCTCCGTCTCGCCCGACCCCAAGGCCGCGGGGGTCTCACCCAAAGCCGCGGTCTCCGCATCGCCCGACCCCTTGGGAGCGGGCTCCATCTCGCCCGACCCCAAGACCGCGGCATGGTATCCGTCTCGTCCAACAGGGACCCGTACCGTCGCCAACCACTCCAGGTCCAAACATATGGGCCTGGGTCAAAACTCTGACATTAGGGAAGAGGCTAGCACGCCTCGATGTAACCCATGGCCATAACGGGCCATACCTGAGGATTCACATCAAGAACAGTGTAGGACATGCCGGTGCTGTTTTGCTTAACCCTCGTACGAACGCTGATAGGCGTGTCAGTTCACCACGACGTCTGCCGGGACGGAATGGAACGCCATGACCGGTAGATGACACCTGCGCATGGCGCTAGTGACAGACAGGGCCGCGACGTGGAGCCGTCCCTGTTGACATCTACAGGATCGGTGAGACCCGCATGAAGGAGAAGAAGGACCCAACGATCCTAGAAGCCATCCTCTCTCTCGTTCTTCTCCTTTTCCTCCGCTATAACCCGCGCTTTCCTTGGCCTATAAAAGGGAAAGCAGGGCGCCTCATGAAGGGGATGGGACAGATCCGCATAAGAGCACGACACGAGCACATAACTGAGCAGCGATCGAGCTCTCATCACCCGTTCATTCCTTTCACCAGAGACTTGGGATCCTTTTCCTCTCTCGCTTGTTTGTAACCCCTACTTCAAACCAAGTGCCGGTAACATGAGCAGCAACAAACTGGACGTAGGGACATTCTGCCCAAACCAGTATAAACACTTGTGTCCTCCGAGCACACCATCCAAGCTAGACATGCAAATACAAATTTACTCATCGATGGTCCGAAAACACCGACAGTTGGCGCGCCAGATAGGGGCTTTTTGCGCGTCTTGACGTTCACATCAGGCCTCGGATGGCTAGTCACGGTGTCAGCTGGGTCCCGGGCGCGCACGTGCGCTTCAGGGACCTGGACTTCATTGTCATGACGAGGGAAGAGTTGGTGCAGGCTCCCGTCGTCGTCCAACCTCTCCGCTCCGTCGGCCTCGACGCGATCGCCGAGGCGCTTGAGGAGCTGCGGCTGCACGCACCGGAGGCCCACACCCCCGGGAGCGACCAGCTTCTCGGCTCCGATTACGGGAGGCTAGAGCGCCAGCTCGGTGCCTTCCTAGGACCCCGACCGTCCCGGGAGGACCTAGGCTGCCTCACCTTCTCCTTCGCCAACGTCAAAACATAGCTGGTCGGGGGAGAGCTGCTCTCCCTAGAATACCTCATCCGGAGCGCGCCGACAGCGCTCCCGTCCGATCTCTGCAACGCCGCAGAGACCGTTGGCCACCTTGTGGTGCAACACACGTCTCCATCCCCCGCGAACGACGAGTTCGTAGGGATGACCGAATATATCGCGGAATCTTTCCACAACCTCCCTGCAGGAGAATCGGGGTCGCCCTCAGACTCTGACTCTAGCAGGGTGAGCCATCACCCTTATCGTGAATGTTTCATGGTAGGTACCCCCGAGGGATACGTCAAAAGCATCCACGAGGGAGAGGCTACCCCAACAAATGACCTCGACGACGAGGTCAAGGGGGATGTAGGGCCCCACCTCGCCTGCGGGTAGAGCAGCTGAAGACCTAGCACCAAGAGATCGAGGAAGCACGACTCTAGCTTGAGTAGGAACGCGCGGAGCTCGAGTGAGAGATCGAGCACCACGGAGACGGTGGTCGTGCATGCGCCATGGCCCGTGACGTGAACCGAAGGATCATCGAGGACGACGAAGCCCTCCCACACTTCACCCGGGCAAGCCAGAACATCGCTGCTGTGGCGGCCTTGCTCCGAGGGCTTCCAGGGCCCGTGACACCCGAGGATCGTCGGGTCCATCGCGAGATTCGCACTCTACTCGAGTGTGCGGCAGCGCAATAGGCCGAAAGCTCGTTGTCCCAACGACGCGAGCTTGACACTAGCCAATGCGCGCTCTTAGAGCAACCCAACAGGGACATGTCTGTCCACCAGGCACAGCAAGGCAGAAGGCCGCGTGCTGCGGTCCCGGTGCATGAACATCTCGGCCTCCACCATGACGCGCGCGACACCCTCAACGCCCACAGGCATACCCGCGGCGCTACGACAGTGGTGAAGACTGAAGCCTGAGCCTCGACTTGCTGGGGCCTCAGGCCTTTGGCCGACACATCCTCAACGCCGCCTTCCCACCGCGGTACCGACCGCCGATCAACATCCTGAAATACTTTGGGAAAACGAACCCTGGACTATGGCTCCAAGATTATCGGCTTGCTTGTCAAGCCGGTGGAGCGGATAATGACGATTTCATTATCCGCAACCTTCCATTGTTCCTAGCCGATTCGACACGAACGTGATTGGAACACCTTTCGCCCAACCGAATCCAAAGTTGGGCGGACCTAAAAGAGATCTTCGTGGGAAACTTCTAGGGCACATACGCACGTCCTGGGAACCAATGGGATCTAAAAAACTGCCGACAGAAGTTCGGGGAAACTCTTCGTGGGTACATCCGGTGCTTGTCCCGGCAGTGCAACGAGCTGCCCAACGTCGCCGACACCAACGTCATAGGAGCTTTTATGTCTAGGACCACCTACGAGTCCCTGGTTCACAAGCTAGGATGTAAGGGCCCACGAACCACCAAGGAGCTCCTCGACATCGCCACCAGCCACGCCTCGAACGAGGAGGCGGTCGGGTGATTTTCGACCGCCTCAAAGGCAAGGCTAAGCGGGATGAGGACGCCGGCGAAGGCGCCTCCAACCGTCCCAGCAAGAAGAAGAACAAGCAGCGGCGCGAGGGCTCGCTCGTGGCCGCCGTTGACCGCAAGGGGGGTCAGAAGCCCACCAAGGGTACCCCGGACAACTTCGAGAAGCTACTCGAAGGGCCATGCCCGAACCATGCCTTTCCCGTCAAGCACCTATACAAGGACTGCGTCCTCATGAAGCGGTTCTTGTCTGGAGGCTCCAACAAGGGGGAGCATAGTGAAAGCATCTAGGCCCCTAGTTGGATTTCGGTGATTAATGATAATACAAGATTACTATGACTAACATGTGTTTTGTAGAGGCAATTAAGTTAGGTCATGGTAATGGCAATTGATTGGGCAATCATGGTTGTCATGCCCCTACGATGGAAATCATTTCGGTTTTCAAAGGATGGACGACAAGGTTAAGGATGGACTAGTTCTAAGTGTCGTTTGGTGTTGAAGAGACACTTAGAGTAGTTTAGGACTTTGTTTTTCCTTTGGCCATACTATTAAGGGGGTATGGACTAGTAGCTTGACCTAGGTGAGTCTAGTGGGTTAGGTATGGTGCACACTTGTCAAATCTAGCACTAGGTAGCTCAGGAGTAGCCCTAAGATCAATTGGAGCAAACTTCATTCACATATGATTTCGAGTTGGAAGTGAATGGAGGGTCAAATGACTGACCGGACGCTGGTCTAGTTGTGACCAGACGCTGAAGGGTGAGTCTAGTCAGTTCAT